GATTTCTCCCGTTCATGCTCAACTAACTGCAGAAATAACTCTCTAGCTGTAACTTAGGCCAGATCATTCCTGCCTCTTAACTGTAGAATCATAGAATATCCTGAGTTGTAAGGGACTTGCAAGGATCATTGACTCCAGCTCCTGAATGTCTCTCCTCTGGTTTCATTTCTGCATCATATCAAACAGAAGCTTCATGTCTTTAGCTGCGTGACCTGTAATGACCTATTCCCACCCTTTTTCCTCTAGTATTCTCTAGTGACATACCAACTCATCCTTCCCATCTGAAGGTGTCTATGTTCAGTCTTCAAGCACTTACATTCCCTTTTGTTCTGTCTTTGTCCTTCCCTCAGAAGTATCCCATTAAACTTCCTTTACACTCCCTCCGGGTCCTCTTTCAAATTCTCCCTTAACCTTTTCCTTTGCTGGGCTGTCTACAGACTCCTTGTCAATAATAAAACATTTAGAGTGCTGAGACCACAGTTTTCCTTGCTGACTGTTTTGTCTGATTGCTTCCTTCTATTTCCTATCTCTACCCAGTTGTTAGTGCTTGTATTAGATTGTCAAATCCTGCAGTTGGGCCCTTCTTTGAATTCTCTGTTTCTCAAAAATCCAGCACAATGGGACTGCTCCAAGATCCGTGGTGGTATAGGCAAAAAACATGTAATAATATAACATGTAATAAAATAACAGGATGTTAGAACATAGCATCATGGGCAATATGAGCTCCTCTCCTCCCTTCCCCCTCTTCCTTCAGATTCGCAATATTTTTTACACAGTCGAAGACAGTAAATGAGGAGGTTTCAAAATAAAGTATAGTAGCTGATGTATCCTTTCAGCTGCTGAAGTGTTTCCAGGTGATCCACTCACTACAATGGCATTTTCAGAAGGAAAGTCTCTGTGGACACTTCTGTATGTCCCCTCAAGGTAAGACCAACATGTGGCAGCTGGGCAATGCTGAAGGAAGGTCATGGCACAGGCAAGGTTATGAACCTCTTTCATGCAAAAATAGAGGACTCTGGTCTCCCAGGCTTGCTGCCAACGTATCGCCTTCTAGTTTTGCTGAAGTGATCTTGAAAAAGGATCTAAAAAGGGCTGAAGGGGCAAAAGAAGAATGTTGAAATGACATAGTTTCATCTTCATGCAGTTTAGTGCTAATTTTGTCCTTTGTCTTTAAGCTGCCTTTTAAGTGCTGTTTGTCTCTGTGGGAAGCAAATGGGTCACGTTGTTCTGTGTTTCTACTGTAATACGCTGCCTGCTATTTTTCTCTTAGATTATTTGTGTAATCTTTTTTTTGTGCAATCTGTTTGTTCTTGAGTCTTGCAAACTTTGCTACTTCTTTCCCAATAAGCAGTGCAACTTGTTCTGTATTCACTAACGGGTATTCTGAGCACAACACTGGGTTATTTCAGCCAGTATGAAAATATTAAAATGGGGAACATGTGTGGGCACTTAATTGTGGTGAACCCAACCACAAATACCTTCGCTGTTGGTAACTGGCAAGCAGGAAAAGGAGACCTTTGTTTTGTTTTTATCAGACATAATGATAGATACATTGTTTTTAGTGAGGTTTTTCTGGTTTTCTAAGGAAATGAGGCTTGTGCAATCACACTGCCTGTATGCATGTGCCTGTCTGCTTGTCAATTCCTCCCTCACCAACACTTGAAACTAATAGCCATTTTCAACTAAATTTGAGCAAGATGCAGGATTTGGGAGAATAGACCAGCTTTTGCAGAAGTCTTGTGAGTTCTGCAGAAGGTGCAGTCTCCAGTGGTCACGTCATTTCAAGACAGTTCGGTTGTGTATATGCCCATGTACCTCCACATAGATCCAGCCACCTCAGTGTAAGCTCCCAAATTGGATATTTTGGCTTGTTTGCTTTTACCTTCTGGGTGAGTCAGTCAGTTGGGAGAGTTGCTAGGCACAGAGCTTGTGTTTCGATTCTCACTGGAGTGACCATACCTCATAAAAAACATGGTTTGCTCAAGGCCACAGAATTATAATTTGCATATAAACTTATAAAAAAGGAAACTTTCTTTAAGCTTTCCTGTGCAACAGTTTACAGGATTATTTCTGTCTGTGTACTTAATAGCAGAAACTGGACTTCTCATAAATGTAGACAGGTTAAGTCTGTCACTGCCTGAATGGGAATCTTCTGTGGAAAAACCCAGAAAGAGGAAGGAAAGCCTAAGGAAACCAACTTAAAGGGGAGAAGTTGGCCAAGACTTGTGTTGTGCTACTCTTTGGTTTGTATCTGACCACCAGTAATTAGCTGGGGAATGCCTCAGAATTATGGAGGAATGTAACCTCAGAGCACCTTTGGGAGACAGAGAAAATGTCTTTATGCTCATTGCTGGAAGAGAGGACAAGAGGGAAAAAGGCATTGAGTTACTTGTCAGATATTAAAAGAGTATGTATTTGAGTTAGGAAACAGGCCCAGGTCTCCCAGCACAAGTATAGCCAGAAGTATGGTCTACATGTAGACAGCTTCTTCTTCAGCAAATGGAGAGATGCCTTGGTCAAAGAGGAAGACAAATGCTGAAGTATACTAGAGCTGACTAAATTATGAACGTGAGAAGAAGAGGAGGGGAAGAAAAGATTCCCACATGTTCTGCTCAGATGTTAACAAAGAAAGCTGAGAAGTGTTTGCATAGACGCTACATTATTCCATGTCCAAATGCCTCATAAAAATAATACCGGATGATCACAGAATGGCACACTAGGGAAAATAAATTCTTCAGCGGAATATTCCCTCTGGAAAAACACTGTGTAAAGTAATACACTAATGGCTTTCAATTTCATGTTTTATATATAGAGATATTAACTGCTCCCCAGACGTCTCTTCGTATTACAGCCCAGCTACACGAGATGTTTGGAGAAGGCCTTGGAGCACGCTCTGTCTTGTCCACATGCAGGATTGAGTGGTGCTCTCTCATGGTACATGCAGCTCCTGTGGTGTACACAGTAGGTGTCTTCTGCCTCCTTCCCAGTGCAGTGCTGCTCCTGTTATTCTGTCCACTGGCTTTGGGTTTTTTTTATTCCTAGTCCTCGTGGTTTTTTCCATTCTTCCCCCATGCTCTGTAGCCTCACCACCATGCGGGGAAACCTGCATTCCTCCTCTGCTCATAAAAAAGGAATACTCACTACAAGTGCTATGGTGGAGTAATTAAAGCACAACACTGTCAATCAAAACACTAATAACCAATACTAAAGAAAGTTAAGTTCACATAGAGCATTATTAATTCCTTTTGGGGGCTTTACAGGCTTGTCTGGATTCATCTGGTGACTTCTCTCTCCACATTGCTCAGGCTGAGAGCTGTTTGTGTCAGGAACTGTATCTCTTGTATAAAGCCAACTACGGTTATGCTGTTGTAGCAAATCATAATGATCTGGGTTTTTTTCTAAGCTTTCCTAATATATCTCAAATGTGTATATATATCATCCTGCCACATCCTGAAGGATCCAAAAGTAGCTTACATGCTTTGTTCCCTGAATGTAGCTTACTGGAGTCTGGGACAGGCAGGAAAGAAGTTGTGAGTGCAGGGATGTTGACAGTGCACTGCCAAAGGACAGCAGCCCTGCTCTTGGGATGACAAGACATGTCCAAGTCCTTTAAAGAAGTTGTGCAATATATGCTTGAAAAGCCCAATAAATGCAGATCGTGGTATGAGAGAGCATCGTATTGTTGCTGGATTGTTAATTATCAGATACATATTATTTGTGTATGCGTTTACGAAAAATTCTATACTGAACTCAGTCTGCCTTCCTGCTCGTACCTCAGCTCTTGCTTCCCTTCCCCTCCTTCCCACTCTCAGTGACTGTACCACTCCACCCACGGAGCCTTCAAGAAGTGCAGGGCCCCATGGCTGAACACACACCACAGTTAGTCTGAAACTGGACAGTACCATTTTGAGTGGGGCAATGTCCCAGACCACAGTTGCTCTATTAGCTTTGGTTGGGGTTCTCCTGCATAGGGTGGCTGAGGTTGTTCTTAATACCTTCCATTTTCAACATTGATCATTGGGTAAGGACATCAGACCTGCACGGGCTATCTCCATTTTCTAGAACTTGAATGACAGAGAAAAATGGTAAGGGTGTGCCTTCCACCCTCCTCTTCCATCATCTCTGCACCAAAGTCTTTCATGGGAAAATGTCTTTCCCATGATCTAAGAAAATCTTTTCTTCACTTGAAATCTATCTGCTACATAACATTTTTAACAACAATCTGAACAAGGCAGGAAGCCTTTTGTATGTGTGTGTGTGTGTCTGCAGATTTTTTTGTTATGCGTTTCTATGTGACATCAGGGACCTTTTTGAGAAACAGACAGAGCTCTTAAGGCTTGTCTGTACTTAGAGTCTTTACTAGCAGGTTCTGATACACCTTTCTTGACACCTTTCTTGAAGGATGGTAAGAATATAGTATCCACCTATCAGTTTCTTTAGGAATAGTTTCTGTGGTTGAATAGACACAGTATCTTAATCATTATCAATCTTTGAACAGAAAAATAAAGTAATTGGCTTCACTGAGAGAATTGGTTAAAGCTGTACAAGCAAATACTACTCTTTAAATGGTAGCAACTGTACTGCCACCAGGCAGCTTTTGTGAGGCATCCTAACACAAAATCTTTTAATGTGGGGGCCAAAGCCTTAGGTTTATCACATCTAACTGATGAGCTGAGGATGAGCTGGGTTAGGTGATAGCTGAGTGGTTTGTATCTGAGGCTCAGACTCCTTACAGTCAGCACTGGCTAGCAGCAGCAGAACTGATATCACTGCAGTCTTGGGAGCCAGTTTCAGTCCTTTCTAGATCTTTTCATGTGGGCCAGCACCAGAGTGCCTTACAGGGATGCTAGATCTTTGCCAGCAGTGGCACAAATTGCTCCTCTGTTGTCTGAGCTGCTGTGTCCCCCTTACGCCTGTGCAGCACAGCTGTGTGGAAGGATCTTCTCTGCAGCTGAGTCCAGGAGCTTGCTTTGACTCACATCCTTTCCCTTTGCTGACAGGCTGCTGTGCCCGCTGTGGGAAGAATGTTGTTGGAGAAGGCACCGGTTGCACGGCCATGGACCAGGTCTTCCATGTGGAGTGTTTCACCTGCATGACGTGCAAGAGCAAGCTGAGGGGACAGCCTTTCTACGCAGTGGAGAAGAAAGCCTACTGTGAACCCTGCTATATTGTAAGTAGCTGTTCTTCTTTGTGCCCTGACTTTAATGCACAGACGTGGGAAACATTGATTTCCTTCATTGCTGTAGAGTTGCCTTGCAGTTAAAATCTGATAATCTTGCAGCAGTACTGTGGGCACCTGGTCTTTCCATGGTCTTCAGAAGAACTCTGATATTTTTCAACTTACTGGATGAATCTCTTTTCCTGGTCTGACCTGTCTCCAAAAAGAAGTGGGACAGGAAAAAACAACGCAGGGGAAATAGATGATTTTTGTCATTTTTCATTTCTGTAAGGAGCAGAATATGCAGTGATTTTTTAGCAGTAGTGTTGGCCTTAGTTTTCTATACTGGGAAACCTGATACCAAAAAGTTTACAGACTGTGGTGCCCACTAAGATTAAGGAGGTGGGATGCAAGAGAGCAGTGAAACTTCTAAAATAAAGGCCTTTGCGTTGCCTGATGGAAGTTTTTCTACTGAACTGAGAGTCTTTGGATTAGATATCTTTTGAAGCTTACCTTACCCTAAAATTTCATTTCATGCCTCCAACAAGGTCTTAAAGAAAACAATTAACAGTTGCTCTGAGGAGCCACCTCTTGTAAGGGGCTCCTGTAAGAGCTACTGGAACCAATTGCACAGGTGCAAATTAAAGAAACATCACATAATGTACCTGAGGCCTTACCTTGGTGTGACCTAAGCATCCAGTATATAAGGGTAATCCCTGTATCTTAGATTAAGTCAAGAACCGAAACATTTCTGAAGCATTGATAGGTCTTTCTCTAAACATCCAGGCCTACGTTCTTATAGACACCAGGCCTGAGACCCTTTCAGAATTGGATTTACACTTCTGAAAGTAAAAATTGATGCTTTTCTTGATGTTTCTGGCATTCCAGTAATAATTAGAGGAATAACACATATTTTTGAAAATGCCACCAATATCTCAGTGTTCTTCCTATTTCTACAGAGCCTTAGCAGTGGGACTATTACTAAAGTATTGAATATAAAAAGGGAGGATTCTGTCTTATTTACAATGGCAGTGATAGGTGGGCCTTGTTAATTTGTTTTTAAAAGCTAAATGATCTTTTGATGGAATATGTACCTTTTGAATCATTTCTATTTTTGTTTGCACTAAAATGATTGCACCATAAAAAATTTAAGGTTCATTTTGTGGAAAGTTTGACCATGTGCAAAGCACTGCAGACTTTAGGAAGGTGCATTTTTAATATAATTGGAACAACTTTATGTAACTGGAATTAAACATTTCACTGACTTCAGTCTGGAATTGACTTCATCTGCTTGCAGATTGATACTTTCTTTTCCTCTTTTTTAAATCAAGCACGCATTCTTCACCACTCATCTGCTTTAGTTTGGGAAAACATCTGCATTAGCCACTGTAGTGATGGTTTAAGATTATTTAATCCCATTACTTATACACTTCATTAGCCTGAGTGAATTGTTGGCAAGGGTTCAGTAAACTTCCTACATTGGGAGATAAAAGGATAAAAAAGGAAAGGGAGAAGGATTCTGTTCCTCATTTTCTTTCAAATTTATCTTCTATCTATTTAAGGGATAAAGGAACGATAATTGCCTGGTTGCATCTGCGTTTGTACATTCTGTGATATGGCTTTGCAGCTCTGAGTACAGAGGAAAGAGTAAACGTTTAATAGCTTCCTTTTATATAACCAGAAGGGGCCTTTAAGTGTTTATCCATGCAGTCCACAAAAACCTGGTTATGGACTTAACCCAAAACACGTCTGGATCCATCTGCTGCTGCACATGCAGGGGAAAGGATGGCAGTGCTGACGGGGCTGTGTATGTGTAGCTGGACAGCTGGTACTGGGAGTGGGAAATGGGAAGCTGGAATCTGGCAATCTGAGGCAGTAAAGAAAAAAAAAAAAGCCAAGTACACATTAAACTCTTAAATGTGGAAGAAACAAACATTGGAAGCCCAAGTCTCAGTACCTTTCTGAAAGCTCAGGAGTCGGCTGTGCTAAAAGCCAGATTCACAAGGGATCTAAGCACCTGCCATGCTACTGGCTTTGGGTCTGAGGAATTTGTGTCCTAGAGCCTATGTCTCATTGATTTTTCAATGGAATGAGGTCTGCATTGGCTTCAGAAGGATAATGAATGCCTAAGTACACTGAAGTCTTGAGATAGGCTTGCAAATTCTTCTTGTAGATGAATGGGGGACCCTTAAAATGATGAGGCACAGTCTGAATGCTTTTGTCTTTAGATGCCTTTAGATGTGTGATGCAGTTATACTGAACTCAATGAGAGTTAATGACCTGCTTAAAATCTAGCCTGTGCTTAAGGATTCCTCTGAATTGTGGCCTCACTTTTTTTTTTTTTTTTTTTTTTTTTTTGAGCTTCAAGTCCTGTGATCAGAAAACAGCTTGGATACTAGGAACCCTAGGTCTGTAGGAAGTCAATAGGACTGAAATGCCTAGACTCAGTTACCTCTGGATCTGAATTCACATGAAAGGTGCAGCCTGTGACTAGCCCAAGACTACACAGTTAATTCATGGCAGTGGCCAACTAAGAAAACAGGGGTTTCAGCTGGCATAAGTCTGAGAAATTAAGTGAAACTTGTTTACTGGTATACCTAATTCACACTGATTTCTAACACACAACTCCATTTTCCCAAGTCCAAAACTCTTGACCTCTGATGCAAGCCACAGAGGCTTCATTTCTTTAATGAAAATAAACTATAGTACTTGCCTAGTTGTGATATATAAATTCTTGAAGTCTTTGATTATTTTTTAATAATTCACTTGTGTGACTTTGTGGCCTTATGCACTCAAAAACTATGCACAAAAATAAAAATAAATGTTTTTCAACAATTAGAATTGGCTAATCTTCTCAGTTTGTTATGTGACTCTTCTTAGTTGTGGTGCAGTGAAGCCGTAATTAAAATTACTGTGAAGAGCTGTATTTAATTACTGGTTAGTCAATACCAAGCCTAAATAGCCTGCAGAAGGGGTTTTCTTTGTTTTTGTTTCTGGTTTTATTTATCAGTGACCCAGTTAAGATGAAGTTCCCCAAAAGTCTGAAATAACATCTAAGGAGATCAATCACCTGTTTGCAAATAAATATTTTTCCTAATGGGAATTTGAGTACTAGAGTTAATTTCTTTCACAGAACACACCCCCACCCCCCCCAAAAAAGGCCCATCACTATCATTTCCCATTACATCTTATGACTGCAGTGAGTTCTGTTGCCAGTGTGTTTGCTGGTTTTGCTCTGCATCCAAGGATTCTTTCATTATTGATGTTATTTCTAAAAGAGTACCAGTCTTCTCCATTAAGACACTTCTGCTGAACTGAAAGCAACTGTAAAAACTAAAGTGTTAATAGGAGACAGATGTTTCATAGTCATTACGACAGTCAAGTAACATCTGAAATATAATGATAGGGTTTCCAGTGTAACCAGTGCACTGCTGTGCACGTGCTGAATGCTGTGTCTGCAGTATGTTATCGGTGTATTTTTTCCCCTCCCTAACGGGGGAAATTACTGACAAAAGAACATTTGGTTTGCTTCCTCTTAAGTAGTGGAAGAGATTTTAGCACTGGACTCAGAGCAAGGAAAAGGTTAAGGGTAGTGTCATTGGAATTGTTATTATAAAAGACTGAAAAGCAAGATGTTAGAGCAGTGCCAGCTGTCCGCTTTCCAAATACCGTGTTATCATAAGGACTGAACACAAGGTTAACCAGACACACCAGTCTGGCAAGAGAAATGCTGCTGTTTTGTGAATGGGATGTTCTTTGATGTCCAGATAACTTTCTCCATCCCCTCTCCTGGCAGTCTGGTGGTTGGCAATTGGAGATACAAACTCTGAGCCTGAGGGCTGAGAAGATCTGAGCTCCTGCAGTTAGCACAGGACACAGCAAGATCTTGCAGATGCTCCTGGCCTCTGAGGGTTTCTTCTGTTTGCCTCCAAGTTAATGTGACTCACCTGAGGGAAGGACCATGGTGTGATTGGGAAGGGTACAGGAAAGGAGAAATAGCCTGGGTCAGCTGAAAGAGTTCAGAGAAGAAGAGGGTTCAAAATGAGGAGCGATTGAAGGAGAAGAAACTCTCATATCTGTCTAGCTAGAGTGGGGGAAAATAGTGGGTATGCTCTGCAGTGCCCTATGGAGACACAGGGATTGACATTTCCTGTTTCTGCTGTGCACTGAGAGATATTGATGACATGACCTTAAACCCATCCCCAAAGATCACTCAGGATTTTGCAGGTGAAGTTCATCTTTCCATAGCACTAAAGCTGTGAAAGAGCTCGAAGGAGGAAAAACTGTGCATAGAAGTCATGCCTTGATTATTGCTTTTCCCCAGCTTTAAAGTCAGGACCATAGGGATCCACTGTTTTTTTTTCTTTTCCCCCCAATTACTTGTTTTGTGAGGAGAAAACAGTATATCTTTGAGGTTTTTCTCTCTTACAAGTGTCGAACTTCCTGGCCTGTCAGTGTCTGTAGTTCAGTAGGAGAAGATAGTTCAGAATAGAACACAAGAGAAATGCTGATGTTTTAAGAAATGGTACAACCAGAACCACTGGTGCCATTGAGAATCCTGGGAAAGCTTGAATTTGCTAATCAGTCTGAAATGTCAGTGTTAACTCAATTTGTGCTTATTGAAGTCTCTGGTAAGACTGCTATTGGCTTCAGTGTGACTGGTATTGTAAACCTCACCCTGTGTGTGCTCATGAGTGTGTTTGGTTGAAGGCTGTGCAAGAGCAGCTTCCTCCAGCACATACGGTCTAAAGTGTAAGGTTGATCCCTGCAGTAAAACTACATCTATTTTTAAAAATGATTCTGCAATTTGTAAGCAGGGATTACAGCACTAATTTAGCAACTATGTAACAATTTAAATTGGACCAGAAAAGAGAAACTATAATTTAAAGATTTTTTTTTTTATGATACAAGTTTTCTTCTTTTTAAAGTAAAAAGCCTTTTATTCTTGTTTTTGTCAAGCAACGTATTGAATTTGAGAGTAATTTATGGAAAGTGCTGCCAGCATGGTATTG